TTTTTTTAAAAATTATTTTCCTCTCGAAATTTATTTATTAAAAAGGAAGAAAATTGTCGAAATAATTTTATTATAATAATTTTAAAATTATAAAAGAGAATTTTTTCATTTTATACAGATTAAAAGTTTTTATTATTGATATAATAAATATAATTAGTGAAGGGATCGAATGACTCGCTGGGATTGTTGCTCTCATTTCGGAGCGCTATAGTTTTCTACTCCCACCTGAATTATATATATATATATATATGTTTCAAAAATCTGAGTGATGCAAACGATTCATTTATATTTCCAATTATCAGTCCGCCCAATGAGTCTTTAACAAAATTTAGTTCAATAAGCCAATAAGTTAATTTAACCAGAAATGATGATTCTTAAAAAAAGATAATCACTGATATGACTAAGGTTATATTGATAACTTTAACTAATTAAGCTTTAAATCTATAAATAATAAGTAGATAAGATATGATTAAATTTATCCATAAAAATAAATCACTATTTATTTCAAATTAAGCAGCTTATTTTTCTATAATAATTCACATTATTTTTATGTATGTAGGTAATGTATGTTGGTATGATATGTTGTATATATATTTCCTAGGAGCATGTGCTGCAGTTAATCGTTCAAAAATTTCTTGATTCTATGCTTTTTTCGTTATTTTTAGAAATATTTATTATTCTAAAGAAATTAACTCTATGCATAATTTCTTATCAGTACAACGAGGTTCCAATTTGATTAACTAATTGATTAACTAACTCTCAGATGATGCTAGCAAACTATACACCCTATACTTTTATTGCTAAAGGAAATCTATCTATAGTGCGACAAGCGAACGGAATGAGTCGAATCAGTAATGGTGAGTGCTTTTAAAAAAGAAAAAAGAAAAAAAAAAAACTAATTTTTACTGATAGAACAATGTAAATTTAAGCCCAACAGCTTTGGTTCAAATTCACTTCCGCGTTCGAACCAATAAGAAAAATGAAGAAAAATTTATTCCTACTATAGCTTTTTCTTCAAAATTAATTGAATCATTATAGTTTAGAGTTGATAATAAAAATCGAAGAAATTTGAAAAGCATCAAGTTGATCAATTATCATTAAAAGAATGCGTAAATTTTTCATTACTCTATTCTCACCTTTCTTCATTATATTTAATAATAGAGGCAAAATTGCATAATAAATAAGCTTGTCAATTTATTTATCTTCATATGATATTATCTTTTATATATATTTGCCAAATGCTTATAGCTAAATAATTTTAAACCTAATACATCTTGTTAAATTATCATTTTATCAGTGATGCACAAAAAACTAAATTAATATGATTATTTAAGAATTACTTAATGAAAAACAACTTAATTTTTGTGTAACTATTGTCTTCTTATCAAGTTTCACCTTTTCATAGATCATTATAGGCCGTTTCACGCCAATATGCATTGTTATGTCATTTCTATACCACTTTTTTGCTAAAAGTTTTAATCTTATTCATCATATTCGCTTATCTGAAGGAATTTTTTTTCATTTTATCATTTTATCATTTCTATTGTTAAGTTGGTTTGAAATCATTGAGAAAATTATAATTTGGTTCACTTATAATTTTAACCCAAATAGATTCATTATTTTTATTCGATTTTTCTCACGGATTTTTTTTTGTAGATTTTCAGTTTTACAACAAATTTAACAAAAAAATGTTCATTATGATTATCACTAAAATTTTAAGTTTTACTTTAATATTACAATATTACAAAAGAAAAAAAAGTATTAATCAAATTTCTCTAGAAAAAAAAATCTTTTTTGGCGTTATTTTTCTTAAAGTTTTAAAATTTTTTTTTCCTTTACTTAATGTTTTTTCGCTATATACAAATTTTATTTTGGCTAAAATGAATCATTTATTATATCACAAATATTTTATAATTCTTTTCATCATCTTCGCTAAAATATTTGAACAGTGAAAAGAGTAGTAAATCGCGGTAGTTGTTATGGCTGTAAACAGGCATTATCGCTCAATCGTAATTCACCACTATTCCCCCTTCCCCTCCCCTCCCCTAAACCTGATCAAACATTGAATCGAGTCGAGAATCGTCAGCTTATTTATGTATCATTGTAAATCGAAAAATTATGAGAAAGACTAAAATTACGAGATAAACAGAGAATAATAATAATACCCCTTGTATTATCGAGAATATATTAGGGCTATTAAAAGTTTATATTCATTTAACCGCAATCATTATCGTTGTTCTACTATTTTCTAAACTAAACTAAACTCGTCTCAAATCAAAAAGTTATAATCATTCGTTATTTTATCATCGTCTAATTTCACCTTGTAAATTTTATGGCTCAATGAGCGTTGTTAAATGGAACATACGTTTTATACCTTAAAATTTATTGCAAAATGACTCGCTTGATTCGTTCGTCTATTTATTGCTTTATAAATCTTTACTGCATTCATTGTTATTACTTATTTTAATATTTATTTATTTTTATAAGTATTTATATTTTAATAATTATATCTATTTTAGATGTTTGCATTTTAATGACTCGTTTGATTCGTTTGTCTAATAATATTTATTTATTTTAATATTTATATTTATATAATAAATTTTTTAATATTAATATTTTAGGTAATTATTTATAAATATTTTAATATTTTTATTTTTATTTATTTTATCTATATTTTAATGTTTATAGTTATTTTAGATAATTATTTATTTATTTTAGGTAATTATTTTAATATTTATAGTTGTTTTAATATTCATATATTTTTTCACATATATATTTTATTATTTATATTTATTTTAGATATTTAAACTTTAATATTTTTAAATGGAACATACGTTTTATACTTCAAAATTTGCTGCAAAATGACTCGTTTGATTCGTTCGTCTGATAATATTTATTTTAATAATTTATAATAAATTTTTGAATTTATTTCTTGAAAAAAATGATAATATTAGTTGCAAATAATTATTAATTTTTTATTCTTGTAAAATTTTAATTTTTTGAAAAAAAAGATTTTTTAATATCAATGGATTTAATAAATCTTTTTTAGTGTTTTTAATGCATTGAAAAATAAAATTATCCTCTATCGATAGTTATATTTCCCCTTATGAGTTTTTATTTGTATTTTCAGCTGCCCTATCACCAAATAAGTTTTTTTTTTATTCAAATGATAGTTTTTTAATTCAATAAATGATAGCTTTAGGTCGATATTAAAGCCAGCTGCTGTTTTGTTGGCTTTTTTCTTTTGTCGTATTTATATTTTTGTATTAAATCAATTCATTTCGCGCAGATGCTGTCTATAAACGCGTTTAAAAGCTAGAAAATTATTGTTCTAAATTTGCAATTCTTTATCAGTTTATCACTAAAAAAGCAAAAAAAAAGGAACCGAAAAAAATAATAAAATTTATAATAAAAGATAATCAAATGATGGAGATTTTTTAAATTCCCATGATTAATTAAATTTTTTGATAATTTCTTTTAGTTAATTACGGAACTAAAATTTGTAGTTGTTGATTAATTTGTAGTTATGAATCGTTTATAATAATTCTAGCTTCACTACATTTATATATTTCACTTCATATATCGCTATCAATGATTATGTCAATGTTTATATCATTTTTAAAAATCTCTAGAAACATGTTAAGCATGAAGCTGATACGTTATCAATACTGATGTTTATATATTTGCCGAGAAATTATCTCCAGGATCACTTTTCTCTCGGTGCATTTAAATACATAACAATCGCTTTATAGCATTGGTTTGCGGTTTATGATTAAAGAGCTACCCTACGAATCGTTTTTAAATCGTTTTCCTTGGTACACCTTTTAATTTTTAACCTTTCAAATATCCGTTAAAAATCTTACTCTACTGGTTTTTCACTCACCAAATCCTCATTATTTTTTCTAGGAAATCCTCTTACCTTTACTACCTCTCCTCCTTCCTTACCAGAATTTTCTTATACATTTCCAATCAGTAAGCAGTAAGCTATCCTTTATGATTTTATAATCTGTTGTTGTTGTTGGAACTGGAAAAAAAATAAATTTAGATGTTAGGCTATATAAATAAATGCGTCTGAAGAAATCAAATTAGCAGAAAAGTGCTTAAGATGATATTACTTAATGGATTGTGGCAAAAGTTGAAATTTTGGAAATGTCAGGAGAATAACGAGCTCGAGTTCGGCATATTGAGGCCGCGGTCGCGTTTCTTTTTCTGCACCTATAACAATATTTATTATTATAGTTTAGCACCTTTTAGCATTAACAATCTGACTTGTTTATTAGTTTTTAGTGATAATTAATTAAGATAATAATCAGTTCTCATTTATCAATTTTAACAATAATACAATATAGGAGTTAAGAATTTGCTTATTAATAGATCGTTTTTGCTATTATTTTGCCGATACGCCGATACTATAATTCTCCTCCTACATTAAATAGATAGGATTTTGACGTGTTTTTTTCGATTGGTACCATTTGGTTCCGATTGGTACTAACGCATTCATCTATATTATTTCTGCTAGGCTTAGCAGAACTCTTCGTTAAAATTTTTTTAATCTTTAAATATGTTAGCAGAACGAAATAAATGAGCTTAATCAAACGAACTTAGAACAAAAATTTTTAATTAAAAAAAAAAATAAAACTTTATCTTGAAAGTATTACTTTTAATTTTGGTGACATGGAACATGAAAACTTCATAAAAAGGAAGAAACTTTTCAATTTCCTCTTTGTCCTTGAAAAAAAAAAAACTTTTACAGCTGGTTTTTAACTGTTCAACATCGTTTTTTAATGATCGTTCGTTTTTTCCATCGAATATTTTTTTTCTTGTATTATTTATTTTTTTCTTTTTTTTTAAAATTATTATCATTGGAAAAATTTTCGCTTAATTATTACGAGAAATTATTAGTAGTCATAGTAATTAAATTTATTGAATTTTTTTTTCCAGATTTTTGAAAAATTTGGATCGATTGGAAAATTTTTAAAAAAAATTCTCAAATTTTAAAAATGTTAGTGAATGGTACTCTTACGGCAGCAACAACGCATACAACTGCTATGATTCCGCCGAATGCGATAAATGCGACTAATTCGACGACGACGACGACAACCACGAGCGGCGATCTCGCCGCATTTCTTGCCGCATCATCGAATTGTATTTCCGAAACAGTTTTCGGTAATCAAATAAATCTTAATGATGCAGCAACATTATTTAGTTTACTCGCACAACAACAACAACAAGCATTATTACAACGTTTACAAGCGGCGCAACGTGAAAATTCACGTCAAAAAAATGCAATACAAGAAAAAAAACGAGTTAGTTATCAATAATATTTTTATTAAATAAAAATATAAAAATAAAAAAACATTTAAAAAAATTAATAATATTATTTAATATCACTTTATTTAATATCATTTGAATTATTTTTTCGTTATAATTTCTAAAAAAAATTTAATAATTTTAATTAAAATAAAAAAATAATTTTAATTATTTCAAAAATTCATATAAATAATAATTCTTTATGCAAAATGATTTAATTTCAATATTTTAAAATCGAAATTCTTTTTATTTTATAAAAAGATTTTATATTTGAATAATTTTATATAATTTTATGTTTATATTAAAAATTAAAATTATTAAAATTTTTGCTATTTTTTTTTCAATTTTTTTTAAATCTAATTTTTTCATTAATTTTCTATTTTTTTATATAAAATTTATTTATTCGATTCGATAGCTTAATTTCATTTTCAAATATTTTCAAATATTCAATAAATGATAGAGTTCACGTGAAATTTTTTTACGTGAACGATTATATAGTTGGTTTATTAAAATAATACGTGTGGTGCTGGCGGTATCCAAATATCTCCAGTTAAATAATTCATCTCTTTAATCGCACTAGTAGCCATCGGAGCTAACTTAACCTACCTTAACCAATAATAGCTAAACATATAGCGATAATAATCATAACTGTGGACAGAATGGGCTCAGTGGTTGCTTAATTGGGAGCGCCGATGCTAGGGCTCGATTCCCTGCAGGAGTAGACCTGCATAAAAATCCGGGTGATGCTGGCGACTCACCTGTATTTCTATCGCCAAAGGATTTCCTGACATATTGCACAATGCAACAAGCAAGTGGAGTGAGTGAGAACGAGTAATGGTGAGAACCTAAAAAAAAAGTATTCATAATTATTCACATAAGGAAATATAAAACTTAAACTTAAGGAAATATAAAATAAGGAGAAATAAAAAACTACTTTAAATAAAAGTGCAGCGAGAATTTCCCGCGTCTATATAAAGTGCGCGAAAAATTGTCCTTTAATTCTTATATTTCATTTAAATTTTAAACTGATGATTTATTTCGATTTGACCTTATATCAGTTTATCATTCATCATTTCTCTGATAACGAGAGAAGCAAATTTTTATTTCCTTGGCTTTGTCATAACATATTTAGTTTAGTTAATATTATCAGTAAAAATTAATCTTTTATCATTTTAACATTATTCGACATAAACAGATCTTTAATCACCAAATGCTTGTTATTGTAAAATTTTAGTATTTTTGCATAATCATATTTTGAACTATAATAATAAATAATAAATAGATAAGGAAATTTTCACAAAAATGTCGGCGATATAAAAAGAAGGAAAAATATTTTTAAATAAATCTATTAGATAAATTATGAAAATAGCATTAAAAAAAAATTAATAATCGATAATTTTGCAAATTCTAATTTTTAAATATTTCTAAATCATTTAAAATTTTTTTTATAAATTTAAAAATTTAATTAAATTATAAATAGCCAAAAAAAATTTATAATAAAAAAATAAAAATTTTAGTGAAAATTTAGTTAAAAAAAAAATAAAAAAAATAATACAATTCTGGCCTTCATTTTTATTTCAAACCTGATTTTTTTTTTTCGACAACATTCATTAAGTCGTTGATTCGAGTAATTTTTCATTTATTCATTATTGTTGTTACTATTGCTAAATATTTTTTCGGGGTATTTTTTATATAATCTTTTATATATTTTTTTTATATATTAATAATTATTAATATTATTAGTATTATTAATTATTATTATCAATAATTATTATTTTTATATTATAATAATTTTATATATTTTTATATAATTAAATATTCTTTTATATATTTCGAATAATTTCTCCAAAAAATTATTTTTTTTTTGAATAAATAGAAAATATTAATAATAATAATATTAAAATAATATTATTATTTATTATTATTAAAATTGTTTTTTTCTTATAGTTTTTTTATGGTATAGAAATTTAAGAATTTTTCGATTTGAATAATTTTCTTCATTTTTCTAAAGCTATTTTTATTATTTTTCAGAGTTATCCATGTACATTTCAATATTGCGTTTTATGCCAGAAAAATGTGCACAGTTCAAAACTACCATGTCATATTCGTCAGTGTCACGTCGCAAAGCCAATGTTTCGATGTCCAGCGTGTGATTTTACCTCAACCTATTCGAAAAATAACGTTAAAAGTCATATGGTTTCACTTCACGGTCTTGGAGTATGTAATTTTTATTGTTGAATTATGCATATTATTAGTAAATTTTCTAAATTTATTGCCATAATAATAATGATAAATGATAATACTGATAATTTTCTAAAGAATATTCGGGAGTTTATAGGGAGATCCGATTAGTTTTATGGAGCAATATGCTGGTCAAGTTGAAGAATATATGAAAAAATGTTTTCCTAATGTACGTGGACGAGGTCGCCCAATACATACAAATGGCGATCGACAATCACCTAATTCACCTGTTTCACCGCAAAATGGACAAACAAGTGCTTCTCGTCGAGGAAGTATAAATAATAGTCCGCCAAATGCAAGCAATAATGTAAATTTTCCAATAATAATCTTATTTACTTAAAGAGAAATTAAAATAATTTTTTTCATAATTTAAATTTTAAATCGCTTAGTGGAGTTTTGCTCAGTTCGGAGTATCGATGCTGAAATTCTATTCTTCCACAGGAGAGTAAACCTATAGAAAAATATGAGAGTAATTCTGACGATTTGCATGTATTTCTAAGAGCCCAATGGACTCTCTGGTATATTTGTCTAGTGCGATAAGCCAGTGGAACGAATCTAACCAATAATGGTGAGAGCTCTTAAAAAGAAAAATTTTTTAAAATATTATAATTTGTAGTAATTTAGACGAATCAACAAAGGCAATATACACATAGCCAACGGCGTATGAGTACGAAGCAGAATATTCCGATTTCTTTAAATGATCAATTATGGGCGCTAAACCAACCGCATTATATTAAAAATGAAAACAAGTAGGATTTTTTCACTTAATTATTTTTGTAATTTGCCATTTATGCGATTACCATGGAATTCATAAATGAAATTTAATGCTCAAAATTAGGCTTTTTTTTTTTAAACTGTTGAACTGAAAAAAAAGAGGCAATTTTATTGCTCTGATTTTGTAGTTCTAATATTGGGATTCTATTCCTAGCAAAAAGTAAATATATCAGGTTGGTGATTAGATATCACCATGCATTTTATCTTTTATCATCAAATAACTCTCTGATAAAGTCAAAGTGAATCAGCGAAACGAATCAAGAATTGTATGAGTTTCATAGAAAAATAAAATTGAAATTATCTTTATTATCAACTATTATATTTTGTAATATTTTCTTATTTTTGATTAGAAATAATTAATTTTCTGAAAATTTTGAATCTTTTTTTTTAGCATCGCATCTGATTCTCGTCCTATTTTCGATGCAAAATCCTCGCCTACTGAAACACAAAATGTTTCGGCAACTGCTGATGTGAAAACAGGAAAAGCTATTAAGGTGATTCTATTTTTTAACATTATTTTATTGTAATTTAGTCATTATAAGTTGAATAGATCGAAAAATTCATTTCCACGACGTTTCTAGACAATTTTTTTTTAAATTTCAATTTTGAAATTAAATTTTTAAAGTTATTTTCGTGAAATTTCAATATTTCGATAATCAAATGAATGAGTCAAAATATAAGTTTTGATTTTGAAATTATAGCTCGAACCAATAGAAAATGGCAATAATAAATTGTTAGATGTCGCACTGCCCTCATCTGAAGGCGAAGCTTCATCAGCAACATCTGAAGGCGATAATTTAATATCTGAAGGTGATGGTGATGAGGTCGTTGCAAATGCTGCAAATACTATTCAAGATATAACAAATCATAGAAAAAGTTCAATTTTCATAGTTCAAATTAATTCTCTCTTGATAAATTAATTAATAATAAATCAATTTATTTATTTTTCTATTTTCGAATTTTTCATTTAGGCAATTATTTAATCAGAAAAAAAAAATAAGCTCATAAAATTTTATAGCGCTTTAGGCAGATGGCAATAATTCTAAAAATTTAGGAAATTTATAAAATCACATAAAAATGAGAAAAGTAAATTTTTTAGCGAGTTTATCCGGTCCTTCGTACGGATCGTATGCGAGTCCTTCGAATCATTCTGAACGTATGAGGAGTGATTTTAAACAAAGGCCAAGGGGATGTCTACAATCAAGGTATTCGTAGAATTATTAACTCTTCTTCATTTTCTTTCCTTTTGAAAAGCTCTCACCATTATTGGTTAGGTTGAAACCACTGGCTATACAGAGTAAGAAACGTTTCCAAATTATATGCTATGTAATGCCATCGTCGATTATTAATATTTTTTAATATATTTTTATATCAATCAGCTAATTTGCATAATTTTAGATATTCCTTACATCCTTTCAATTGGCAAACACTTAGCGATGAAGAGATTTATGGAACTATTTTTGCAAAATCGAATACGCAAATATTTCTTGAGGTTTCAAATGTTTTTTCATTCATTGTTTACTCTATTTTATTTTATTTTATCTATTTTTATTTATTTTATTGTTTTAAAATTTAAAATTTTATTTATTTTATTTCTTAAAATGAAATAAATAAAATTTTAAAATTTTTATTTTATTTTTATTTTATTTTTTATTTTAGAATTTTATTTTTTACTTTTTATTAATTATTTACTTTTTTTATTAATTATTTTAAATTAGTTAATTTGTCTTTTATTATTAAAATTAAAATGAATTGTTTTTTTTTTTTTTTATATAGCGATTGAATTTGGCTTCATTTGCACCTTTTTTTGGTGAATCAATTTTTCTTAATGAGGAACAACTAAAGAAAGTTGCGGAAGTACGAAAGCAAATTAATTTGAGGAATTTTGAAATTATGTTCGCTGTTGATAGGTATTTTGTGTGCCTTTTTTATTTCTTATTCATTGTTATAGATATTATCATTATTATCATTTTATCATTCCTTATTCATTTTATCATCGTAATAACTAAAATTTACTATAAAGAGAGATATAACTTTTCAAAAATAAAAATATCAAATTGTGATAAAAAAAAAAGTTTGTTGATAAAGTTGAAAATTTTGCAATATAATTATAAATCACTTTGTTTTAGCACTTACCGATAGTTTATCTTCTTGCATTGGCTTATAGGACATTAGAATTTTTGCTAATCTTTAACAAATCTTTTAGGGAAGTACAGCCGATTCGCTAGAATGAGCGAAATTTTTGAAAAGCGAATTTTCTAGTATTCCCTATCCGAGGAGTCGAATCCGAATATCGTACCTCTAAAATAAAAGCAAAAATCCACTGAGAGCATTTGTTTAGACGTAAATTCTTAATTGAAAATTCTTAAATTGTTTTTTTTACGATTCTATGATTTAGAATGGATCTTGATGTATTGCCAGTCGAAAGTGTTGATCTGATTCAAAGCATTGCGCCGAGCGCTATTGACATTCATCGTTTCAAAACCTATGAAATGTCGAATTCAGTTAGCTGCTTGAATGAAAGCGAACAATTTATTCTACAGGTTTTTTGTATATCGCTATTTTTCAAATATTTAATATTAATATTTCTCACGTAAAATTGCGTAAAATTTCACGTAATTTGCGTAAAACTATCAATTTATGAATTACATAAAATTTTAAGCGTTTTATTTTTAATTATTAGATAATAAAAATTTATTCTATATGATTTATTGATCTCTCTAATAATTTCTCTAATTTCTTCTTGATTTATCATAAAATCTTTTTAATAATAAATTTTCCAAAAAAAATTTTTTTTTTCTTTTTTTTTGCAGTTAGCGAAAATAGAAAGAGTTGCGGAAAATCTTAGTGCCATGTCGCATATGGGTCATTTCATAAAAGAAGCAAACAATCTGCTTCAGGTATTTTAATTTTTCATTTTCAGCAATCACAATCACATTTTATTTTTCTATAAATTTTTTATTCTAAAATTTAGAAATTCAAATTTATTTTTTATGCGTTTATATTTTCTATTTATATTAATTTAAAATCGATATATAATTTAGAATTGATTATTTGTTTATTTATTTATTTATATTATTTATTATTTATTCTATTTATTATTTATTATATATAATTTTCGATGCATTCAGCAATTGGACGAACTTCGACAAGCTGCTAAAACATTAATCGAATCCGATGTACTTTTTGCTTTACTTCATTTATTTTTAACCTGCGGCAATATTATATGTGGTGATTTTAATGCTCAAACAATTAAAGGATATCGCACGTCGTGTATACTTCAAGTAAGTTTTCTAGTTGTTCAACTTTAAAATTTTTCAATATTTTTCGAATAAATATTAATAATAGTTTATAAAGAATTTTTATGATCTGAATCGAATTTCTAACTATTTTTTAAATATTAATAAATAATTATAATAAATATTAATTATTATTATAATTAATAAATAATATTTTTTTCTTTCTTTTTATCTAATTTTTTAATGAATTATTTCACTTTTTTTTTTTTAGATGTGTTCATTTAAATTTCCCACATCAGAAACCACTTTGCTGATGGTCGTCGTCAAAGAAATTATCTCACATTTTCCAGAACTTAAAAAACTTGATGATTTGATTTCAGCTGTTGAAAAAGGTGCCAAAAGTGGGTTTTTTTTTTTTTTAATTTATAAATTGCTAATTGATGAACGAGTTATTTCTTAAGAGCGTTTCGATTTCTAATATCATCTAAAAGAATATTTGCACAATATTTTATTGTTCTCTTTTAAAATTACTCGTCACTTATGACTGAAGTAGTAATTTATAAATGGGCAATTTGCTAGTCAATTTGGAAATTTCTACTGAACTAATTAGAATAGTTCATTAGCGTGGAATTCCTACGAATATCTTCAGTTTTAATAGCTTCTTTCTTTTCAATTCATAGGATTCTCATATGATTTTAATGATACAAGTGGAATCATTTTTTTTAGAAATTCATCATCATGTTCAGCTTGATTATTTCTCAAAGAGCCGATTCCTTATCTTTGAATAAATGAATTTTTTAATTCTAAATTTTGAATGTGAATGAATTGAAAAAAATAGTTGAAAACGATTGAAAACGATTTCAAATGAAAAAAATCAAATAATTTCTAGGTCGACAATATCAAAGATAATTTCAAAGATAAAAGATAATCCTCTAAAATATTAGATTTTATATCAGAAAACTTTATCAATGAACAGTAACCATCAAAACGAAAAAAAGGAATTTATCTATTGCTGATTATAACAACAAAATAATTGCTGAAGTTTTTTTAAAAAGTTTCATTAATTATTATTAAAAATTTTGCGTTTTTCTTTTTTTTTTTAGTTAAATTTTCTGCATTGACAACAGCAATTTGTGATTTTTATTCCAATCATTTATTTACAATGGCCGAACTCGATCGGATTAAGAAGACATCTTCGATTTCAGCTTTTATTTCAACTTCTGAGCCTCTCCTTATCGAATTAATCGATTCATTTCGTCAAACAAAGGTATTTTTTTCATCTATTTCTGAAGCCTAGCCCCTCGGTTTTATCTATTTCTTAAGCCCAACCTATCTGCTTTTATCTATTTGTGAAGCCTAACCTATCTGCTTTTATCTATTTGTGAAGCCTAGCCTATCGGTTTTTATCTATTTCTGATATTTTTTTGTGCTGACTTTATCAAATATGATTTTTTAAAATATTTTTGTACAGTACTTGAAATTTTACTATTTATTATTTTTATTCTTTTTTTTAAGGAAAAACTAATATCAATGTTGAAATATTTTGGCGAAATTGTGGAAATTAATGAAAGTGCATTGGAACCCGAATTATTTTTTCAAACGATTCTTGCATTTTGCAACAAACTACAAACAGCTTTTGATGAATTTGCAATTAAGCCATGAATGCATATATTTATGATAAAACTGATAAATTTTTTTTATCAAATTTAATTTCTAATGGAAATTTTTTTTTTGAACATTCTGATTGATTAAAGAATTTCTCTAAAAGAGAAAAAATATCGAAATTCATTCATATTAATTCTGAATGATAAGTAAGGAAAAAAAAATAACTTACTTACCTATTTTATTCGATATTTTATTATACATTTACATTTTGTATTTATTTTGTTTTTTTTGTTTTTTTTTCTAGATTTTCTTAGTATAAAAAGCGTAAATGTTGCTTTTTTATATAAATATATATTAGCGTTATTTTTTTTGCAAGCCTATAACGACGATTCACTTTTTCTTCAAACATTTAGCAAAATGTTTGAATGTGAATAGCGAAAAAAAAATTTTTTTTACTAGTGCAAATTAATATTATATTATTTTTATATTTTTGTAAATTTTTGAATTTTTATAAGAGAATTTTTTTATTGTTGTTTTTAAATTTTATATTTTTGTTTTTTCTTTTTTTCAAGAGAACTTCAATTATATATGAAATATTTTATAAATGCAGTGTAATTTTATTTTCTAATAAGTTTTTTTTTTTATAAAAATTCGTAATTTTATTTAAATCAAATTTTTTTTTTGTATTATTGAATTTAAAATATTATTGAAAATAATTGAAGAATTGTTATTTTTTTGCAAAAAAATATTATTTGTTTTTTATTTGAGTTTTGTTTCACTTATTTTGCCATCTGGATTGGCTTCTTTTTTTTTATTTTAATTATTTTTATTTTTTAACAAATTATTTTTTCTTCTTTCTTTTTTGCCTTCTAACATTATCATTCTATGAGAGAAAGTTTTTTCTCTTCTTGAAATGAAATAATAATAATATTTGGATATTTTGTTGAAAATTTTTAAAAAATTAGAAATGACGATATTTTAGGAAATAGCCTTAGGTAGCCTTTTTTTCAGCTTTAAATTTCTATGCTCAAAAAAAAAAGGATAGGCGAATTTAACTTAGTCGTTCATTTTATTTTATTTATCGTTTTTTTTTTGAATAATTTATAAAATATAATTTTTGGCCATTATAAATTTGAATTAATAAATGATGAATTATTTTTTTTTTTAGGTT